TGCCTTTCTTTGATTGAAATAAATCCACCAACTTTCATACTGCTTAACTATCAGCAGAGGAGTAAAGCTTCAGAGTGATCTTTAATTCCAAACGTTTGCGTTTGCAATAGGTAATACGACTGGAAGGTCAAGTAGCCCGATACAAAACTGCTGCTGAAAATGCTGAAAGAGTAGAAGATGAACTGAAAGCAGAGAAGCGCAAACTACAGAGAGAGGTAACTGCAAATGTAACTGTCACAGGAAACTCAGGTGCTGCTTCTGCAGCCTTCAGATGCTCAGCTTTGCATGTTCATCTCAAGCTGCAAGAGAATGTGAATTGTTCCTTTTCTTGCTCAGTTATCTGTTCGTGCCTCTTTCCTGTTGCATTCCTATCCAGACTCTGCCCGTATTTTCTCTTAAAGCACACTTTTCAAGCTCTTTGTAATTTTGACCTTATTTCTTTTACCAAACTTCGTGTTGTCTTTAAGCAACTGCTACAGCCAGCCTTAAATATGTCAGCTGCTTTCACACCGGCCTCCTAAGGGGTTTTTCCACCGTGGCTCTCTGTACCATGAAAACTAAATAGCTCTTCCTGCTATGCTGCCTGTAATAAGTGGTGCCTTGTGGAACTTACCATTCTGTCTTGTTGTCTCGCTTATCAGATAAGATTCATTCCCCTTAAGACACTGGGGCTGGTGCTTGTAAAGGCATTATAAGCCACCACAGCATAGAAATCACGAAGAGGCTCGGACCACAGTTTATAAACATCACGTTTGCTTGAGAGAAGGACATTAATTTCTAGCTTTTTTTTTTTTTTGAAGGGGGGGTGAGGTGCTGGATTGTGATATCCAAAAATGGTTCAGATATTCTTCTTTAAGTGGTCTTTAAATTAAAGCTCAGGATTTGTGTTGTTAATTCCAGGGAAGTACTCCAGTAGCTGTGCTAAAGGCTTCTTTCTCTTGGGCTAAGGAGCCTTGAAGTCTCTTCCACAAAGTGCAGTGGCTTCAGTCAAAACCTGCAGCAACACCTGCAGCAGTTCTTAATCTGTTGCTTAGGATGCTGTCCTGGAAGGCAGCAAGCTGCCCAAGGCCAGAAGGGTCCCAAATGCTGCACTGCTCCCCTGGATGGCAGCTCTAGACTAAGGCATTTTTGCTCCATCTCTTCCTGTTCCTTCCTTCTGTCAGGAGTGACATTCGTTTTTTCTCAGGGCCAGTCTAACTACTAGCAAGTCCCAAATTGAGGGAAGCCCTAAAATCTGCCTTGTGCTGTCATTGGCACCCTTATCAGGGTTTTGTAGCTGTTACTCTGTGCTTTCTCCCTTGGTGGATGTTACAGAAAATTAAGGCTTCAAAGTCAAGGCTGTTTCTGTAAGTCTAGGAACCAGAAATGGAAAAGTCAGGCACTGTGAGAAAGGTGTATGTCATCCAGCAGATCTCTGAACATCCATGCCTCTGAAGCCAAGGCCAACTGTGAGCCAGATGTTCAACGTTCTGTAAATAGTTTGGGTTCTTGGCACCGTGCTTAGAAACTGCGTGCGTGTGGCCTTCAAAGCAGCAGTGCTGCATTCACCATTAACTCCTCTCCCGGGAATTTTCAGCTGCTTTACCATGGAAGGAAGCTCCTGCAGTATTGTTGGTAACTATAGAGCAAAGTTTATCATTGGAAAGGGCAAACATTGCAAAAGTGACGGGGTTGGGTTTTTTTTCTGCTTCTTTCCTTCAGCTTCGTTCGGCACTGGATAAAACTGAAGAGCTGGAAGTCAGCAACGGTCATCTAGTAAAACGCTTGGAGAAGATGAAGGCCAACCGCAGTGCTTTGCTGTCACAGCAATAACCACCAGCTCTCAGTGGAAACGACTGCTGGACAGAATCCGAACGGTGTTACAGATGCTTCTGTGTCTTGCTGTCCGGGATGCTTTGCGTCATGCCTTCTGACAACAGACAACTGCAACATTTGCTAGGTGCCACGCAGCCGTGGTTCCCTTTACGCAGATTCAGACCTACTGCACTATATCTGCAGGAGTAGCTGATCCACATGGCTGTGCCTGCGGGGCCCTTCTACGCACTGCTGTGGGTACAACATCTGTATGCCATGTAAGAAGCACATCGGGGCGCCGCGTTGAGTTCTCCCAGAAGGCACGGCAGCTGTTCCTCGCCATTTCAAATGGCATTCGAAGAAAACACTTTGACTGGACTGGAATTTTGTGTCTTGCTGAGAATTTAAAAAAAAAAAACAAAACAACAAAAAAACACTAAGTTTTAGACTTTCTCATGACTGTATCTGTCATTTAGTGACTACGGTAGAGTTATTCATAGTAGGCTTTTCATTTACAAATCACTGTGGAACCACAAGCCATTACAAAGCAAAACTCCTTCAGTGGAAACCGTGGAAGAAGATGGTCTTGGAAGCAAAAGTGACCTTAAATGACTTTGCCAATAAAACAAAGGTGTTTGGAGGGATTTTTGCACCGGTCGAATCATAAGACTATTTTATTTCAGGGTAAATAGGCAATAGCTTCATTGGATTTCAAATCTTATTTGTATTATTTAATCCCTGCTCTTGGAATTGAAGTAGAATACTTCTTAAGGATGTAAAGTTGTGTTAATAAACCAGCGTAAGGCCATGTTTGAAGAAGTGGTGGGTTTTGCACTTACATGACTTCAGTTTGTCAAAACAAGTGTCGTTTGCTTAAACAAAATACGTCATGGGTTTTCTACATCAGAAACTATCTACTGGTCCATGAACTGCTAGGAAAACACGCCGCTACAGAATGCAAGTCTAATCTTTAAAAAGTAACTGATAAGAAGCACTTTAGAAAATGTTACTGCATATGGGTGTTAGTTGTTTTGTTTTTTTACAAATACAGAGATAGCAAAATATTTCCTTTGCAAGTCATTGTAAAGGTTTTCCACTTCTCGTGAAAGCTACCATAACCAGTTAAAATGATGCAGTTTACACAACTAGCACAGTAGCTCTGGACTGTGGGGAAAAAACCTCTGAATGTACTACTCCAAGGAGAACAGCAGTTAGCTGAAGATGACATCTGTCCTTTCCCCTTCAGCCCTACCCCAGCAGTAATGCAGGTGAGCAATTCCCTAAGGGATCTGCTCGTGGGATGGAGCAGCATCTCCTGTTTGGCAGGAGCAGCCTTCTGTCAATACGGTTTGATTAAGCCAAATGCAAACTCAGAAGCCCGTGTTGTCCTAACTTGGTTTTGGATTTGCTGGTCCAGATCCTTCTCTAGCCTCTTCCTCATAGCCTGGAGGTTAGGGGATAAATTGCTGCTATTTGGAACATCAGGGGATTGCTGGTATCTTAGAGCACCTTCACAAGGCCAGTAAACCAAAACCTGTATCTGAATGTGTTTTGGCTAGGTTATAACACCGTCGTCTTTGCTCCTTGGAGTGCCCTGAACTTCAGGGGTGAAGTACTGAGGTGAATACTCCAGGATGTGGAAGAGGTAGGCTTGCTGTGCCTCTGAGGAAATAAGTATGTCCTTGCTGGTCAACTGGGGTAGAACATGGGAAATGGAGGAACTGAAAATCATTTAATTTACTCTCCAGCTAGGGCTTTGGATTTTGTTTTCCTTTCCTTGAGAGGAACATTCAAGTGCAAATCCGTGTTTCTCATGGAATACCTCAAAATCGCTGTCGATACCTATTTACAACTTTATGTGACTTGTGTAATTTCTGGTGTACGAAGCCTCTGGGGCCTAAAAAAAGATGAGTTAAGGGTTTTTCTGAATGCAAATGAACGTGCTAAATGCTACATCTTGCTAACTGATGATGAAGTGTGGGATTACCACCAGTCATCTTATTTGTGGTAGCAGTAAGAAACTCCCCTGGCAATATTCAGGAGCAACAAATCAGAGTTGGTCCATAAGGCTGAAAATAATGTTTTGCTCATCAAGAAGTGATGTGTTGGTTTTTTTTTTAAAGCAGATTGCATCTTGCACCCCATAAGCATTAGCCTCATGACAGAAATCAGCTGTGTATTTCAACCTGGATATGCTCTTAGTAGGAATCGTCGTGTGTGATGAAGTAGCTGGATGTTGAAGCTACGTTTTTTTCCCCCCATAACTTTCAGTATGACTTAGCTTTAGAATAAGGGAAGAGAAAGCACCGTTGGGTTTAATGCAAACTGGTTTGTGTCTTCCTGTGAAGAATGTACAGCAGGGCTTTGGATGATGACAGCAGCACATGCCCACGTTGTTTCCATTGGGCTCCAGGCAGGGCTGCCTCCAATGGCCCCACAATTCTCCTACAGTTTCTATTTAAAACTGCTTTGCGTTTATTTTCAAATGTTAAATAATATTAATGTTTGCAGAATGGAATGTTACCCGAAAAAAGTTTATTGGTTGTTGGTTGTTTTTTGTTTTTCTTCCTTTTTATATATAAATGTCAAGGAGTGTGGAAAAGGAAACTCATCAGCAGAAGTTGCCAATAAAAAACATCACTTTTTCGGGTGCTTTCGGTGGTCTGTCCTCGTGCTGCTGCTGGGAAACGGCCCCGAGCAGCGCTGTGTGGGGATGCGCGGCTGTGGGGCTGCGGGCGGGCGGGCTTCTGAAGGCGGTTGTGCTTCGGGGCTGGGTGCGTTCAGACCGCCGCTGCGTTGTTTAGAAGCCTCAACGTGTTTTTACCGCATTTTAAGGACTCTGGGAGAGCAGACCTTGCACCGCAGCAGCCACGACCGAAAGCAATTCTGCATCAAAGCGCTCTGGATAGCGGTAAGATACAGCGCACAGCTGCGGCTGCGCCAGGAGAAATGGCGGCGGCAGCGCCAGGAGAAATGGCGGCGGCAGCGCCAGGGCTCCGCCTCAGCCAATCAGACGCGGCGGCCGTTGAGCGCGTGGCGGGCCGTTGGCGGGCGGGCGGGCGCGGGCTGCGGTCGATAGCAGGGGGAAAGCGGGCTCTCGTACGGTGCAGATACCGTGAGGGTGGCTTGGTTTCGGGAAGGAGGTGGTCGTGGCTGCCTGCGGGAGGAGCTGCGTGGATCGCTTCTGAGAAGGCCTCATGTGCGCCATGGAGCTGCAGGAGGACCGTGCTGAAGGCAGCCAGCAGCGCTTCGCGCGTGGCTCCCTGCTCTGCCCTCGTCCGCGGGAAGCCCAGCAAAGCACCAGCGGGGGCCTTGCAGCGTTATCGGAGGAAAGCTTGCCTTACTTGAGTACGTCTTTAGATGCTGCTATTGACGTGTATGACGTGAGAGTGAGAACCTGCAGCGCCGAGGCAGATGAAAGCCAGAAAGAAGCTGGCGTGCTGAGGACGGCGTGTGCTGGTGGTACGTGGTGCAGCTGCGGGGTTTGTGATGCTGGGAGTCACCTCCGTGTGGGTGAAGATTCACAGCTGGAGTACATCAGTGCGAACGAGGAAGGCTTTGGTGATGGGAATAGCTCAAGTGAGCTGTCTGAGCAAAGGGAAGCTGTAGGAAAGGAAGCCCTGGTGGCAGTAGATCCAGTTCATGACGTTGCAGGTGGCGGAGCTGCAAAAGAACAAAATCTTTCTGAGTCTACTTCTGAGTGTTGTACAGCTATGCCAGAGCTTCCCCAGCTGCTCCAGGACTCTCTGCCTGTTGGCAGTGGCACGTTTTGTAGTAGTAAGGAGGAGCAGGCAGCATCTCTTAGTGGTCTTGCTGGAAGTGTGCTCGAAAGTCACGCATACGGGAGTAGAGGGAGGAGTTATCCAAATCTGCTTGCACCTGACCGTGCAGAGGTGGAAGATGCTTCCTTACGTGGTGGTGCACAGCCCAGACAGAACGACAGATGTGTTCACAGCAACTTAGTGGAGCAAGGAAGCCCTTTGCTGTCACCGAGGGAAAGAGCCCGAGCAACAGCCACACAGGTCTGCAAAAGTGCAGGGGACTCTGATTTTTACAGTTGTGAGGAACCCCTCCTGTGCATACGTGGTGCCAGCTGTGCTTACTGCGCTTCGAAGGGGGATGAGAACCAGTGTCCAGTCCCTGCAGTTCTCACTAGCAAAGATCTCAGTTCTGGGGAGGAAGCTGCAGGGAAATCTTGCAGTGCAAATACCTCTGCCTCCCTCAACTGGGAGTGTTGTGAAAGCTTGGTAAATGTGGTCAGTAATTCTAAAGTTAACCAGGCTGTCGACGCAAGTTCTGATTTTAGAGTTTGCTTTACAACCAGCAGAAGTACCAGTGCTCAAGTTCCTCTCTTATCCAGGGCAATTAATACAGAGATCACAGTGATGAACAAATTCAGACATGTGGGTTGGCTTGGGGAAACTTGTACCAGTGTTGCTCGCAGTACAGACTGGCTGTCTGGGACTGGTCCTACAGAGGAAATGGGGTCACAGCTTGCTGATGTGCACCAGGATGGCAGTGCTGCAGCAAATGAAAGAAGTTCACAAGTCAAGGTAACTTCAGAAATAATAATAATGTTGATGCATAGCTTTGTAAACCTAACACTGCTGAGAACTTGCATATACAAATGTTAATCCGTAACTTCTTTGTAATCATCTTTATTTAGGAACAGTGGGAATCCAAAACTGAGTCGTGTAACAGCAGTGTAAAGATAAAGGCTGACAGGTGGGTCGTGGATTGTTCTCTGTTTGGAGTTCTAGATGCTGGGTAAGATTTCTGTGTTGGAGATGGAAAGGCTGTGTTTGTCGCAGGGGAGTTGGACTGGATGGCCAACTCTTGAAAGTTGTTTTAAGCTCTCTACAGAGAGAGTGGTGAGGTGCTGGAACAGCTGCCCAGAGAGGCTGTGGATGCCCCGTCCCTGGAGGTGTTCAAGGCCAGGTTGGATGGGGCCCTGGGCAGCCAGTATTAAGTGGGGAGGTTGGTGGCCCTGCATGTGGCAGGGGGATTGGAGATTCATGATCCTTGGGGTCTCTTCCAACCCTGGCCATTCTGTGATTCTCTAAAGGTATTCTGTAAAAACTTCCAACTCTAAAGGTTCTGATTCTATAATTCTGCAAACAGGAGGAACTGATTGCATTGTCTTTTTCCTTAAATCACCTCAGACGTAGCTTTTGTAAAGCTGCTCGTTAAACAATAAATCATAGGAAACCTGCAATATTGACTCAAACTCTTCATGACTGTATTATTATTATTTTGAAGGCCAGCACACCTCAACAAAGAAGCTGTGAAGGATTCTGTGTCTGTCTGTCAAAATCTACTGCAGAGAGCTGTTGAAGCAGAATTGCAGGTTCTAAACGCTCACTACCAGATGTGCTATCAGCACTGCTTGAAGATCCACAAACTGGCTTTGGAGGAAAATGCATGTTTTAGCAGGTGTGTTAATGTCCTTCTGAGTGAAATGGATAACTTGGCATTAATTGCTAAATATTTGCCCTGCAGCAGACTTGCCTCTGGATGTCTTACCATGCTGCTGATGGGGAAAATTTATCTTTCCTATTATGGGATGCAATATTTTTCACTTAGAGGGTGGTGAGGCACTGGAACAGGTTGCCCGAGGAGGCTGTGGATGCTCCATCCCTGCAGGCATTCAAGGCCAGGCTGGATGTGGCTCTGGGCAGCCTGGGCTGGTGGTTGGTACCCTGCACACAGCAGGGGGTTGGAACTGGATGAGCATTGTGCTCCTTTTCAACCCAGGCCATTCTATGATTCTGTGATGATTTTATTTTAACAGATACCATGGAAATACCTCTGCTAATACTGAATCAGGTTCCTCTGTCACGTCAGTTTTGGAAGAGCTAAAAAAGAATTACAACAGTATGAGAGCAAAAATACAAGCGGGCACACCTTTGAGCGCACTTCCACCACTGTCAGTTGAGATAAAGTTATTGCCAGTTGTTTCTTCCTATGTCCCATGCAAGGTATGTTTTTGAATTTTCTGTTTGTTTGCTTTCGATGATTTCTTTCTTGAAAATTGAAAGTCCTGTTTTCTCTTTTGACAGTTATTCAGGGAGGAACTTTGCCCCGGGTAAGTAGTCCTTGCTTCCGGTTTTAAAGCTCAGAATAAACATCTTTTAAGCTCTGCTCCCCTTTGACTTGGGATTCCTATATTTTGGGATGCTTCTTGTTGCTCTAGACTGCATAGCACTTTGGGTGCAGTGGTTTCATTTCAAGGAAGGCTCTACTCTGTAGTGTTCTCAGGTGGGAACTGTGCAGTGGCAATTAAATTAAAACTTGCGGAGCTGTACTTTGTATTAATTGGATCTTTTGCAGTTCTGTTTCAGGCATGAGAAAAGCAGGTTTTGAAGCTTCACCATTGCAAGAAATCAGAACTCCTGTTAACGTGGTAGGTGGGGCTTTGTCATTTGATAGACATTGTGCTGGGAGCAGGGTCTCTTCTCAGCTATGCTCTGATAACAGCTATGGGCTGTAAGGCTCAGGCTGGGATTCTCTGCCAGTAGCAACAAGAGCTGCTGAGGGACCACTTTGGGTTGTCCTTTGGAAGCAAAATAATGTGGGGGTTCTTGGTGGGATCATCAGGCTCTCTTTTTAAAATTTACCTGTTTAACTGATTAATGTTCTGAAGTTAAAAAAAAGGTCTTATCAAGTGCAAGCTGTATGATATAACTGGAATGTGCTCGTAGGAGAGTGCACAGCCCACATGTTTAACTGACGGCCAGCAGCCCAGTGACTCTGCTTCTTCCAAGATGTCCCAAGAGCAGCTTGAAAAGCAGGGCGTGCAGCACGGTAAGCTCACTGCTTCTGATGCATGGCCTGCTCATTGTTTGAGGGGTGAGGTGAGGGGTGTGGTATAAAATACATGCCAGTAAGCACTCTGACACTGGGCACAGCAGGACATCCCTATACATCAGCCATCTATTACACTTTGTATCCAGAAAAAAGTGGTCATAAACCTTTGCTATTTGAATCACAAGGGAGACCTGCTGCGTGTCACCTCTTCTTCAAGTAGCAGCAAATAATGTAAGTAGCTGGGATCCTCTGATATTCGTTCATCTGAGTTTGACACACTGAAATTTATTTGTCAAGGATGTGTGAGAAGCAAAGAGCGGAATGAATGTTGGTTTGATGCTAAGGAGGACTTCACAGGAACAGACTTTTCAGGAGAATCTGAAGAAGTGGGGAAGTGCCAAGAGAAACAAGACACGGTTGGTTTGAGAGGTGAGGTCCCATGCTTTAAGGTGACGTACCTCATGATGGCGCTGATGCTGTGCGCTCTCTGTCCCTTTCTGCATCCTTCCCTCTAATGGCTTCTTGAGAACTGCTTTAGAGATGTCAGTTTGAGCTGAAAAAATGGTAACAGTCTGATTTCTTCCGTTTGTTATCAGAAGCAAAGATAACGGAGAGTGCAAATGAGTGCTCCTTTGTTTGTGTTGGTGGCTTGAGTTCTTCGGTGTCAGAGGTACGCCTGCTTCCATTTCCATAGCAGTGATGTCTTGCTGCTCGTGTGAACTTTTGTGCTACATCCCTGCAAACAAAACGTGTGTGTTTTTATAGGGTGATCTGAGATTGCATTTCCAGAAGTACCAGATCTCTGTCCTGCTCTGTGGAGATTCTGATAACCACAGGTAAATGAGTGAAGTTTTATTAAGTAATAGATAGATACAGATTAGTTGGCAAAAACCTGTGATTCCGGGCAGCTTCTCACCTTATGAGAAGCTAAGCAGCTTGGAATTTTCTCTTGTGACATGGTTAATGTTCAAAAGATGAGAGTCATCGTGTGTTTGTATTGACAGTCCCAAAATACTTACTGACATTGTGTAGCAACTGAAGCTGTACTTCACCTAGCTTCCTATTTCATGTCTTAGGTGTGCAGTTCTTGGCTTTAAAGACGCCTCTGCAGCAAAGTTGGCAGTGGAAGAAATGAACAAGGCAAAAATTAAAGGAAAACCAATAAGTGTGGAGCTTGTCAGTAATCCATCGGAGAACAGATCTTCGGCTTCCCGAATCCTTGGGAAGAAGCTTTGGAGTGAAGCCCTCTCTGTTGCTAGCAGTGCAAGCTGTGATCAGAATGAAACACTGCCATCAGCCCCTGGTTCTGAGGGAGCTCCTGGCACCTCTCCTGCTTCTCTGAAGGTGCCTCTCCTGCCCAGGGCTTCTTCACCAGCTCCTTGCTCTACACAGTTGCCTTCAGAAGCAAAGTGCCCCAAATCCTCTGCTGAAGACTCCGTACATTTTCTGTTTGCAGTTAATCAGAAGGTAAGTAATGATTACTGTGGCTTCTTTATGTGGCAGATTGGAGCCTCACAACTTCTTCCTCTAACATGTTCTATTTATTGCTTACTGAGCAGTGTTAGGGTATGAAAGCACGGAGTGTGTCAGTTATAAATTGGTGACATGCTGGACAAGAGTGATATCACCATTTGTTTGCTCCCACATCAAGTTGTGATGTTTCTTCTTATCCCCAAACCAGTAGCCCAATAGATATCATAGGTATCATTTCTATGTTCACTCACGTTGGTCAAGGCAAAAATAGTAATGTCTAATGAACTGTAGATAACCTATGTGAATTTCACTTCTCCTTTTTCTGTAACACACATACTTACTGGTAGTAAAGATGCTCCAAATGACTTGTGCAGCACATAGCCCACTCACTGCTTGCTGCTTTTCATGCAATTTTAGGATGCTGGAGAGAATTCCCTGCCAAGAGCACCTGCTGCGCCTCTCTCCGCTAACTCATCAGAAGCCTTTATGTCTCCTAACGCATTGAACGTGAGCAGTTTTGCCAAATTAATGAAGAAACTTAAAGCCATTCATCCAGAAGCTAGTAGGTAAGAGTGCTTGGATTGTAGTTCTGCCCTGATTGGTAATGAATCACAGAATCACAGAATGGCCAGAGTTGGAAGGGACCTCAAGGATCACGAATCTCCAACCCTCCTGCCACATGCAGGGCCACCAACCTCCACGTTTAATGCTAAACCTGGCTGCCCAGCCTGGTCCAACTGGCCTTGAACACCTCCAAGGACAGGGCATCCACAACCTCTCTGGGCAGCCTGTTCCAGCACCTCACCACTCTCTGGGTAAAGAATTTCCCCCTGATGTCTGACCTAAATCTCCCCTCCCTCAACTTAAAACCATTTCCCCCCGTCCTACACATATCAACACTTTCAAAGAGTTCATTCCCCTCCCCTCTGTAGGCTCCTTTAGGTACTGCAGGCTGCAATGAGGTCACCCTGCAGCCTTCTTTTCTCCAGGCTGAACAAGCCCAGCTCCCTCAGCCTGTCCTCACAGGGGAGGTGCTCCAGTCCCCTGATCATCCTAATGGCTCTCCTCTGGACCCTCTCCAACAGCTCCCTGTCTTTTTTGTACTGCGGGCTCCACACTTGGATGCAGTATTCCAAATGGGGCCTCACAAGAGCAGAGTAGAGGGGGACAATCACCTCCCTGTCCCTGCTGCCACCCCTCTTCTTATGGACCCCAGGATACCATTTGCCCTCCTGGCCTCAAGAGCACATTGTTGGCTCATGTTAAGTTTTTCATCTATCAGGACTCCCAGGTCCTTCTCCACAGGGCTGCTTTCAAGGACTGCTCCATCCAGCCTGTACGGATGCCTGGGATTCGTCCGGCCCAAGTGCAAAACTTTGCACTTTGCCATGTTGAACCTCATCAGGTTCACCCTGCCCACCTTTCCAGCCTCTGGAGGTCCCTCTGAATGGCATCCCTTCCTTCAATCTTGTCGACCGCACCGCTCAGCTTGGTGTCATCAGCAAACTTGCTGAGGGTGCACTTGATTCCTACATCACTGTCATTGATAAAGATGTTAAAGAGCACTGGTCCCAACACAGAGCCCTGGGGGACGCCGCTCATTACCGGCCTCCACCTGGACACGGAGCCATTGACCACCACCCTCTGTCTGCATCCTTTCAACCAGTTTGTTATCCATCGAGTGGTCCACCCATCAAATCCACATCCCTCCAATTTGGAGATGAGGATGTGGTGGGGGACCACGTCAAAGGCCTTGCTCAAGTCCAGGTAAATGACATTGGTCACCTTTCCCTTGTCCACCGATGCCATCACTCCATCATAGAAGGTCACCAGATTGGTCAAGCATGACCTTCCTCTGATGAAGGTCACAGATGACATGCCCATCCCTTATGTGGTCGAGCACGTCATCCAGGATGATCTGTGCCATGATCTTCCCAGGCACAGAGGTGGGACTCACCGGCCTGTAGTTCGTGGGGTCCTCCTGGCTCCCTTTCTTGTAAATGGCAGTGATGTGACCCTTTCTCCAGTCATCTGGGACCTCACCTCACAGCCACCACTTTTCAAAAATGATGGAGAGCAGCTCAGCAACCATCTCAGCCAGCTCCTTCAGGGCCCTGGGATGCAGCCATCTGGCCCATAGACCTGTACACATTCAGTCTCATGAGGCAGACTTGGACCTGCTCTGTCCTCACAGCAGGGGGGGATTTGTCACCCCAGTCCCCACCTAGAGGTTTAGGGATGCCATAGCCACGATAGCTGGAACGCTAAGCAACTGCACAAAAAGTGATGTCAGCAGTTATTTCTGTTGCTCCTATAGAGACACAATCGTGGATGCTCTGCTGGAGGTGAGGAAGAACAATAACGGTGTCCTGAGTGGTTTGACCATCAGCTCCATTACGCAAAGGGCCTCTGCAATCCTAAGGAAAGCAACGGCTGCTGGTACAGGGAAAGCAGTGTCAATCAGTGAGTATTTAGCCTATAAAAACACAGGTGTGAATTCATCTAGCTGTGTAGCCTAGGAGAACTTCCTAGGAACGTCTTCCTGCACGAAAGTAAGGGAAGGAATCATTAAAACAATGATTTCTAAAGACGGACTGTTGCTGTACAATGTCTGTAAACACAGGAGCTTGCTAGTACAGCTATCAAACTGGGCACACTGGGGGTTTTACTGTGCGGGTTTGAGTGATGAGCTCAGTGACTGAGCACATGATCGATGTTCTGGGCAAAGGTGACATCTAATGGCCAGTTCCTGTGTAGCATTTCACACAGGAATTCCAGTAGAGGCTCAATTCTGATTTAAAACTTGATGATTTTTTCTGGCTGGGTGGATGGGGGGAGAGCAGTGGATGTAGTCTACCTTGATTTCAGCAAGGCATTTGATGCTGTCCCCCACAACATTCTTATAACAAAGCTGAGGAAATGTGGGATAGATGAGTGGACAGTGAGGTGGGTTGAGAACTGGCTGACTGGCAGAGCACAGAGGGTCGTCGTTGGTGGTGCAGAGTCCGGTTGGAGGCCTGTAACCAGCGGTGTTCCTCAGGGGTCTGTGCTGGGTCCAGTCTTGTTCAACATCTTCATCAATGGCCTTGATGAGGGGATAATGGCCACCCTCAGCAAGTTTGCTGATGATACGAAGTTGGGAGGATTGGCTGACAACGCCTGAAGGCTGTGCTGCCATTCAGCGAGACCTGGACAGGCTGGAGAGCTGGGCAAAAAAACCGGATGAGGTTTAACAAAAGCAAGTGTAGAGTCTTGCATCTGGGGAGGAATAATTGCATGCACCAGTACAGGTTGGGGGATGAGCTGCTGGAGGGGAGCTCTGCGGAGAGGGACCTGGGTGTCCTGGTGGACGACAGGTTGGCCATGAGCCAGCAGTGTGCCCTTGTGGCCAAGAGGGCCAATGGCATCCTGGGGTGCATTAAAAAGAGCGTGGCCAGCAGGTCGAGGGAGGTGATCCTCCCCCTCTGCTCTGCCCTGGTGAGGAGTACTGCATCCAGTTCTGGGCTCCCCGGAACAAAAAGGTACAAAAAGGACAGGGATCTCTTGGAAAGAGTCCAGCGGAGGGCCACCAAGATGGTGAAGGGCCTGGAGCATCTCTGCTATGAAGAAAGGCTGAGTGAACTGGGTCTGTTCAGCCTTGAGAAAAGAAGACTGAGAGGGGACCTGATCCAGGTCTATAAGTATCTGAGGTGTGGGGGGCAGAATGGCGAGGCCAGACTCTTTTCAGTGGTGAATGGAGACAGGACAAGGGGAAACGGCCGGAAACTGCAGCATAGGAAGTTCTGCACCAATGTGCGAAGGAAATTCTGTACAGTGAGGTGACGGAGCACTGGAACAGGCTGCCCAGGGAGGTGGGGGAGTCTCCTTCTCTGGAGATGTTCAAGACCTGCCTGGATGCTGACCTGTGTGACCTGCTGTAGGGAACTGCTTTGGCAGGGGGTTGGACACGATGAGCTCTGGAGGTCCCTTCCAACCCCTACAATTCTGTGATTCTGTGATTCTGTGTGATATTTATTTCGGTGCAGATATTGAACAGAATAAGTTTGCACATCCTCTAGTTTTTGCACGCTGAAGGTATAGATGGTTCCTTTCTTCTACTGGCTTGCCTGGAAATCTTGCATTGTTTTCTCCCTTTGGCAGAGTTAGCCCCGAGTTGGACATCTCAGTGTTTACACGTCTGTGTATTTGTTAATTGTGGAGGAGTCTCTGCATTCGAAAAGACAGGGAGGGAATTTTGGCCTAACGCTGAAAGCACCACCAGGAAACGCATGGAGCCTGTTCCCTTCTGAATGCTGACTTGAGAACTTTGAATTAACTCAGGCCATGCAAACAATTACCTCTGGTTGTGATCTGTCACACAGGGACCGTTTTATTCTATCAGCATCACTTTTCTGTGCAGTTCTCAGGGCTAGGAAACCTCGCTCTTGTGTGCAAACTTCCGCCCTCCTTAGCAAAAGCAGCTCAGCCAATGGTGCCCTGGGATGCTGGCACTGCTGACGCTTTGTTTCGCATACACGTGTTCAGGCAAAACTTAATCTGCTTTTCCTTTGTTTTTCTTTCTGTGTAGGTGATGTAATGAAGAACTGAACGCTTCACATGACAGATTTTTGCAGTCCAGCTCGCTCCGGGATTGTTCTGTATTTCTTGTTTGTTTGATTTCGGTAGAGCTTTGTGAAAACTCGCTTAGTGTTGCTGCATGGTTTGCAGTTTTGTTTGACAGAACGTTGCCTCAAGGTCTTTTGAGAGTGGCTTTGTGTGCAGGCAGATGGTAAGTAGTTCTCCCCTGCCTGGTCGTTCAATGCATTTCTCTGAGGTTGAAGGCTCCCATAGCAGACTTCTCTCATAGCAGCAGCACTTCTCTGTGCTGAAGCACGCAGCCCCGGCTCGTGGTGCTGCTCTGTGTCAGCGATAGCTGCAATGCTATCAAACAGCTGGCATGCTTGCATGATTTCCAGACAACGATTCCAGATATTGTGCACAAATGTCAGGCATCCTTTTCATACAAGGCAGGGCAGGACAGGCAGCAAGGCCCAGCTTGGAGAGCACGCAGTGCTGGTTGCGTGAACCCAGTGCTGCAGTGGCTGCTCGCAGCAGAGCCGTGCCCTGCAGAGCTGGGCCTGTCAGCCTGCCTTTTGTATGCTGCAGCACAGCACAGGGGAAAGCCTCTCCCGGCCGCTTCGGGGTGATGCGGGAGCACGCAGCCTTTTGTTTGCATGTGGAGCCACTCCCAGGGTTTTCCATCCTCTTCTGGCAGCTGAGGGTGTGCCTGCCGTGGGCAGCCAGCGCTGGTGGCCACTGACGGTAGTGCTGTCGTACCGCGCATCACATCGCACCTCCGTCCCTCTGCTGGGCTTTGCCCTGCCTCCTTACGGTGAATAAAGGTTGCGATGCCTTCTTCCCAGAGTTGTGCCGCTCTTCTGCTGTTTCCAAATCTCACCCGTTTTGTCTCCCCTCAACAGAACCGCGGCGGCAAACGCTTCCCCAGGGCCCGGCGCTGCGCTGCCAGGCGCCGCTGCTGGTTCGTCCTGAAGCCGCAGCTCAGGCCTCCGCTTTGCTTTCCCCCCCGCGGGCGCCCAGCTGAGCGCAGCGGCAGGCTTTGCCCTAGCGCTCTGCTAAAGGCGCTCGCTGCCCTCCGCGCTGCCTAATTGTGCGATTAGACGGGCGCGATGCTTTACAGAGGGCGGCATGCTGCTGCGATGACGGAGAGGGATGTCCGTAACGGAGCGATTCCCGAGGAGCCGCGGCTGGGCTGCAGGTGGAGCTGTGCGAACTCGTTTGATTTCTGTTAACGCGAAACGAGCACCGGGGACGGGCGCGATCGCGCGGCAGCTCCCGGCGAGGCGGCAGCCGGGCCCCTCGCTGCCGGCCATGGCCCTGCTGCCGCGCCGCTTCCTCTGCTTCGTGCTGGGTGAGTGCCGCGGGCTGCGCCGGCAGCCAGGGGAGAGCGGGGGCTCCGGGAGAGGCTCCTGAACGTGGGCTGTGTGGGCTTTGCCCGAGCTTTGCCGGCCGCGGGGGGAACGGGAAGGAGCGTTCGTTCCCAAGTGCTGAGAAACGATCGAAGTTGGGCTCTGCGCGTGCAGGCGGTGATGCCGTCCAACGCGGTCCTCTGTGAGACGCACTGAAGAGCACTCGTGCCAGAAGACATCCCCTGCCTTTGGCTACTAACACGGAAATTAACGACGGGGCGACTGCTCTAAGAGGGGTTTTGCCCTTTTCCATTTCTGAACCGGGCACGAGGAGAGGACGCAGCCAGAAGCGCTCCTTCTGGCCACCCTTCTGAGCTGGGGATGGATTGGCAGGTGGGAGACTGCCATTCACTTTGGGAACTCCTGCATCACCCACCTGCTTTCACAAGGCATGAGGTCTCCTCGATGTTGGTAGGGTTTTGTGTGCAACAGGTGGAGGATTGCCTTATAACCTGAGCCTAGCCAGTAAAAACCTTAGGATTGTGCTTTAATATAAGAAGTGTGTTTAAGATTGCTTAGAAAACAAGCTGCACAGTGCCGTGCAGCTACTCTTGCACGAAACTCAAGTGCTCTTTGAAGAAACGTAGATTTGTTTTTCCCCTATTTGCACTCCAGTGCAGGTTTTCTCCTGGTAACCCTGCTGAATGATGCATGGAGCTGTGTGCTGTGACGGGCTCATCCCTGCGCTGTCATTAACCGTAAGCTTCCCTGCTTCAGCTGCAGGACCTCTGCTCATTCTTTTGCTGCACCTTCCACCACGTGGTTTGGGTTCAGGGACTTTAAATAAGACAGTGGGAGCTGGTGGTACTCCAGGCTGCTCTTTTCCACTTTCAGGGCTCGCAGCAGGACATCTGCCTCTGTAAGCCTTTAGCTGTGATGGATGGCAGCTAATCCTGGCGCTGAGTTGGAGATGCATTTCTCTCGCTGTGTCCTTTTGTAGGTTTTGTTTGTTTGTTTGTTTTTTTAAAGTATGTTCTGCTCTAGTTGGGGAAAAAAAAAAAAAATTAAAAGAAAAAAACCCTGTTTGTTCCTTGCTGCTCTGTTGCCATGGACAGATGTGGCCACACTGGGGGTGACCACTGAGACAGGGGAGTGGTGAATGTGGAGATTGCTGATGCTTCTGATGAAGCAGGTGTGGGTTTTCTTTTTTAGAAAGAAAAGATAAAACAAGCTGTGCTGATAGAAGTGCTGGCAGCTTGCTGTGTAAGTGCTGAGGCAAACACAGAGAGCTCAGCTCTCACAGAGTGCAGGGGCTTTGCTGAGCCCCGGCTGCCGTGCCACTGCAGCTCCTCGTGCTGAGCTGCGGTCTTATGGTGCAGCGCAATGCAGAAGTGCTCAGGGAGGCCAGCTGGTTCTGTTTCGGTGTTATGAAAGGAATACAGACGCTTCAGATGCCTGGATGGCATCCAGAATAAAACTGGGGGAGCCAGATAGAGGCTGAGACCGCTTTGTTGCGTCTCTGTTGAGTTGGTCACTTCTGTGTCAAGTCAGCTCAGCCACTCGTGCTGGCTGGGAGCACCTTCCCTTCCTCTTCACCATCTTCCTGCCAGCCTCACCAGTTGAGCTTTCCTCTTAGCAAAAAAATGCTCTGTTGGTGCTCTAAGCAGCTGGCTGCAGCTGGGGGGTCGTCTAAAATAACCCCAGCCCTGCTTGCCACACTGGAGTGCCAGCTGTGTCCCAAGGTACCTGCTGCCATTGAAGGTGAAACAGCTGGGAGCTTGGGGCTGCTTGTTGTTGGCAGGAGCAGACTCTCCTGTGGGCTCTGCTGCCTGATTTCCACATTTGTGGAGTTCCCTGTGGGCCAGGTTGCGTGTGGAGCTTGGTTGTTGCTGGTGCCGATGGATGAAGTGATCCCAGCTCAAGGCTGTCAGAAAACCACATTATTTCTGTTAAAACCAAGCAGATTTGCAGGGTTATCACAACATTTGGCTGCATTGGGTCCTGGAACAGAGGGAACTTGAAGGTTCCTATTCGTGAGGAGAGATGTTGGCCTCCGTATGCGAAAAGGCAACAGTGAGCCTGGGCTCAGACCTGCTTCGTGCTCTGCTGGGTCGCTGTGCCATCAGTGCTGGCACTGCCACGTCTTTTTAGGTAAGGCTTGGTGGGAAGCCATCTGTGCTTTGTGTGGGTGAGCAGGAGAGAAGTGCATTATTCAGCTGGAAGGGAAAAATAGCCTGCATCAAGAAACCCATCTTAAAAAAGTGAAATAAATTGTTCTCTAGCTGGGAAAATGCATGTTGAAAGTATTTAGGCGAGCCGTAATTCTTTGCAGCCTGGGATGAGTGCATCAGCAAGACACTGGGGCTGTTTATTTTCCTTTGCTCTAATGGATTTTTATATTTATTTATTTTGTTCTTTGTAGGCTTTGTGCTCAGCTGAGTGAGTAACGTGTGTCCGGGAGCCATTTTTTTAGATCTCAAAGGTAGTTCCATAAAGCAGCCCCTAGTTGTGCACAGCGGAATGCACCCAGCTCAACGCAGACAAATGCTTTGGGAAGCCAAGCAACGTGATCAGAGCACTGCTGTCCCCAAACTGACCTCCAGCATCTGTGCCTGTGGTGCTGACCCTCCTCCTGCTGCACACACACAGGCAGAGGTCGCCTCAGCATCCTTCTGATCAGCCCCAAAGCCCAGCAGGGTGAGCATGCAGGTCCCTCTGTCCTCCTCCTTGCAACCCCATGGTCTTTGGGAGTATTGGGTAATGAAAAACTGTGCTCCTCTCCAATAATTTAACCAGGGCAGATAATTTTTATAAAGCCCACGCTATTCATTAAGGATGTAATTATAGCTAACTGCTCATGCCAGGTTTTGGTGTGCAGTCAGCCAGCAGTTGGTGTGCAGCGTGCCCGGCTTCTGATTCACAGTCCTGTCCCTCCCCTCTTCATCTGGTCTTTATTTTATCTATGCGCTAAATCAGCTTTGTTTTGGTTTGGTGTTTTTTTTTCTTGGAAAAAAGAGCATTTGCTGCTCTGTCCTGCATGGAGTTAAGTCCAGGGACATCTAAGAGAAGTCGCCTTCCAGGAAATGTGCTTGACAGCCACCAGCACCTGACAAGAACATCGCGTCTCTCCTGCTGCTCCACACAGGGAACTGAGGTCAGGGAAGGAACTGGAGCAGCCCGGGGCTGCCTGTTGCCATTTATTTATTAGCTAACAGCATCTAGCAGTTCTGCTATCAGGCAAAAAGTCAGTCCTGTTTTAATTTTAATCCAGTAGTTTGGATTGGATTAAATCGTACCTCAGCTGCTCTGTGCAAACCAGAATGGGGAGAAGTTGGCTGCAGGTACAGGAAACCGCTGTAACAGATGCTCCATGAGATACTGACTGTGGAGCTCTGCCACCAGAGGTGCCTGAGCGTGACAGAGCTTCAGCCCAGGGTTTCTTCTGAGGAGAGGGAAGGCTGTCTGCAGGGCCTTATTGATAGCACAGAGGAAAAGAAAGCTCTCAGCAATGTCTCTGCACTAAGTTTTGGTGCCACCACAAGTTTGTGCCGTGGGTGGTTTGGGAGCACCAGGCAGACCACAGCCCATCTGCTTGCATGTGGGCACGGCTGGAAGCTGTGGGCTTAGCTGTCGTGCTGGGAGCACTCGCTGGTGCTGCGGAGTTTGAGCCACAGAGCTCATTCTCAGTGCAACAGAGCAAACCTGCAGACAGGAGGGGGAAAGCGGAGTGATTTCAGCCTGAGCTTTGTTCAGAAAGCAAATGATTTCACGTGGGGTTTTGTAGCGTTTGGGAGAAAATGCTGGGATTTTAGTCCTTGAAGTCCTAGAAGCTTTGTTGGCTTGTAGATAAGCGTGCTTGTTCACTGCTCGCCCTGCTGTGATTGTCACTTAGCAGTGGTCTGCAACCTTTGGGGGTTTAATTACACCTCTGAGCTTTTAGCTGAGTATCCAGCTGTTCTCTGCTCCCTGCTGTGCAGCCCTGAGGGCTCTTCACCAGGAAAGCCTGCCAGTCCAGCTGGAACTGGGTTGATTGCTAACACATCCATGGGCAACGTGCTCCACATGTTTCTTCCTTCTACATCCAGCACCATCCAGGGGTGTCACAGGGGTGTTCATTTAGTGGCATTTCCTTAATAGCTCAGCAAACCGAGGGACCTGAACAGTAGTTCAGGTACTCCTCATATGCCTTGCCACTTCTTTCCCAGCTGCTCACAGCCATGCTCAGCCCATCCATGCCTTTGAGTTGCTTTGATTGGCAAGCACTAAAAGCTCCCAAGGGTCGTGTTTTTGCTTGGTTTGATTTCTTTGTGTCTTTAACTTGTATTTTCTCATTCTGGAGTTCATTTCCGTGCTGAATACGAGATAGCTGTAGCTTGCAGCTGCTCAGGTATGGCTTGTGGTTGCTTCTTGTCTTTCCAACTGAGGTGGAGCTGCCAATTAAGGTGTTTTCCTCTAGGAAGTGGCCACGGTGTCTGTTATTCGGGAACAGATGTCAGGAAATGCTGGGGCCTCACTAATAATAGTTGTTGTGCTGGTACAAGTGGATGACCTGTCTCCAATCTCATCTGTGCTAATTGGCTCCGGGCAGCCAGGCTGAGCTCAGTTAAATTCTGCTTTTCCTCACGTTGTATTGCTCTTGAATTTCTCAGGGCGGCTTTCTCTTCCCCGGCTCCTCTCTCTGCTTTGCGTGCCTTGCTTGCTTCTGCAGGCTCCGCTTCCTGCTTTGCTCCAGTTCCCCTTGGCTCCTCTCCTGCCTGCTTTTCAGTCCGTTCTCCAAGCCCTGCTTTCTCCTTTTGCACCCTGTGCTCAGCATTGCTCCCGTGGACGACTTTGGCCATCGCAGCCCACTGCTCCCAAGGCCAACATTTCTGCAGCTAAACCACGCGCGAATTATTTCTTTTGTTAAGAAATGAAATAAAAAATACCCCCTTCTCCTCCAGCTTTTGCACTGAGCTATTCACATGTAGCAAAAAATAGAGTCGGAATGCGATGCTTGCCTGCAATGTGCTCCAGTAGCTGCAAAGGCACCGGCAGGCACTTTGGGACCAAGAGCAAGGTATTATTTATAGCCAGCTGCAGTAAATCATTCCTACTAAGGTTTTTCTTTCAGCCTGATTCCTGTGTAACATTACTGCTGCTTTCCATAGAAAAAATGGCACAAATTCATCCAAAAACACAGCTCGTATGGGAGCCCAGTCGAGCTGCTCACAGTCACTCCCTGCAGCCTTCCTCCAGTGCAGTCTTCATACCCCAAATTCCACTAGTGGAGTCCACAAGAAGCATCTTTCTCCTCTGATCCCAAACCCCTCTACGGCAGAGCTCAGACTGGTGGTGACAATATTTTGGTGCTGGTGCACACCACCTATGCAGAGATGGGTATTTGTTTGGAGGCACAGCGCCTTGCAGGTAATTTGTAAGGAGTTCTTCAGACAGGACCTGTCTGTGCTGCTGGTTTTTAACAAGAACACTGAATTTGAAGTCTGTGCCATCAGCAGAGGATAAGGCTGCATCCTTTCTTATTCATGCCTTACCTGGGAGAACACGCTGTGAATAACTGATTCAGGCATCAGGCACTTGGACAAGTAACTGCAGATGATGGGGAAGGGAACTGATGATAAGTGGGGAGAGGGGAAAATAACAAAAAGCACAGCATGTTTTTAAGGGGCTGTCTAAGAGCAGGGCTGCCTTTACTTCCTGCGGTGCTCTGGCAGATGGGTTTAGCTCCAAGCACCGGCTCAGGGCAGGGCTCAGTTACAGGTGCCGTTCCCTGCCTAGTCCCATGGTAAGTATGGGGAGGTGGTGACCCACGACCCGACCCCTTGGCCTGTCTTTTCAGCCCATCACTTCATCGCGGCGACGGCGTGCCATGAGGCGGAGTACGGCAGGCAGATCCGCGAGCGCTGCCTGCGACCCTTCAAGCTCAGCATGGAGGGCATCGGGCAGCAGCTGTGGTGCAACTGGGATGAGACCATGGGGTAAGTGTGGGTCTTCCTCTCCAGAACACCTCATGAGCCCAAAAGAGAGCCAGGTCAGAGCTGGCGAGCCTAAGGGACAGCGTGGGTGGTACCGCATCAGGGACCTCCTGCACCCATATTTGATTTGGGGATGGACTGAGTTCAGCAATGGGTTTTCTTCCACAATGGACCAAAGGTGCCATTTCACACTGCTTTTTTGTTGTACTGTGACAGTGCCCTGGCACAGAGGGCTGTGGGGCCTCCTCCCCGGACCCCCCCTCCAGACCCACCTTGACGTGGTGCTGGGCACCCTGCTCTGGGTATCTCTGCTGGAGCAGGGGCTGGGCCAGAGGGACCCAGAGATCCCACACTCCCTTAGTGTGAGACACCCTCTGTATTTAAAGTCTCAGGCTGTCCTACAGGCTTGCCCTTCGCGTCCAGAAGTCGCATGTTGATTTTTCCTGCCATCTTGGAGGAGAGGTTGGCGTGCTGTTGGTAGGGCATGGCAGCCTTCTGCTGCTCATAATCAGTGTCAGGGAATTAGCAGCGATCCGTGGCAGATGAGAAGCAGGGTCCTGGGCTGCTCTCACCAGAGCTCACTTTGCATGTTGTGCTCTCATCCAACATCAGGGCATGGTCTTTCTCTTGAGAGACAGAAGAGTGTACAAAAGCAAGCTCTTGCAACACAGCTGGGGATTGAGGGCAGCTGGAAAGGGAGAGCAGATGCTGCCACGTGCCATGAGTGTGTTGCACAAACATACAGTTTTCTGGTTAACTTCCTGCCTGTTCCTCCTCTTCTGTGCCAAATTGGTATCTTCCTCTCTGTGCATTTATGTGTATGTAAACACATATGTAGCCTACAAAAATGACAGCTTGGGTTTTCCTTCCTCTTTATCAACGATAAAATTGAGGCGAGAAAGAGCAGGAAGACTGTGTGGGAGATGTTCTGCTTCTGGGAAACCTCATCTGTCCCAAAATCTGACTTCCTGAAAGATTCAACAGGTTTGTCAGACAAGCATTAGCCCTTATTCTGTTCTTTTCTGTAGCACAGAGTGCATTGGACATCTCTTGTTTTCATGATGTCTGGGGCTGCTGCCTCTGAGCAAGGGGAAGTGCACCTCCTGATTCGGTGCCACCTGTGAGCTGGATGAGGTGCAATCCATCTCCAGATCTTCGGTGAGGCCACAGCACAGAAAGCAGAGTTGTATTAGGGAGCTGCTTCTTTATCTCTGACATCCTGATTTTCTTCTGAATAGCTTCTGCTAAACTTATTATCCTTGAGGCACTTGGAGGAAATGTTGATAAACTCACAGTGTTTAATTTGATTGCACGAGTTCATTTGCTCTGTGGGAACACGAGCCTCGGGTTGTGGAGGAGAGGATGTTCTGGGCCTAGAGCCTCATTGTTTGTTCTCCATATTTCCCCCCAAGCCAAGGAATTTTGATCCTTGAAACCTTTCTGGAACAGAGCGTCCAACCATCAGTAGGCTGAGCCCCACCACCAGTCCATGTCCATCCGTGCCACATCCACACGTCTCTGCCCTGCACAGCACCACAGCCTGAGCATCCTCCCCAGGAAGAAATGTAGCCGGGGAAGCTGTGTGAGCTGCCACTTGCTTTGGGAAGGCAGATTTGAATAACAAATTACATGCACGCTGTGTGGTGGGAATGGAGGAGGACGAACCACCGCAGTGCCAGCATGGCAGCGCAGCTGCAGCCGTCACTCAGCTCTGGCTGCTGAGGGGCCGCCAGGCTGTCACCCTGCTAAGAATACACCCCAGGCATTTCTATTTATCGCCAGCTTCCCGAGTGTCTGTGGGATGCGCTGTCTTGAACAGCGACCTTGCAGGGGAAGACACTGTTTTCTTTCCCTTTCCTTTAGAAAGTAAAAGTGAGCTTTTTGCCTTCTTTCGTTTTCCTCCCCCTTTACAAAGTGGGCTCACTAGAAGAAGAAACCTTTTTCTGTCCCTGGCTACCCAGTCTCAATATCTGTGTGCACATACAGACACCTCTGCAACAGAAGGTATGATCTCTATGATAGAAAATATGTTTTCTGACATACATACAACCATACTTCTATTATGGAATATTATATCCCATCTTGGTTATTATATTTTACCTTCATTACACGCACAGTAATACTCTTAATATCACAAACCTTTCTGTTGGTATCCAGGGCTGGGCAGATCCATTTTAGTGGGGTCTGTGGGAAGCACCTGGTGATGGGAGGCTGGTGAGGACCCAAGTCCCCCACTGTTGCCACCCCGGTGCCCTGTCTGTCTTGCAGCACCTACGGGGAGCTGACGAACTGCACGGTCGCGGTGGCTGAGAACCTCACTTGCTACTGGCCCAACGGCTTGGTGGATGAGTTCTTCGTCGCCGTCCACAGCCACTACTTCAGGAACTGCTCCCCATCCGGCCGGGCGCTGCGTGATCCCCCCAACGGCATCCTCTGCCCCTTCATCCTGGTGCCCATCCTCGTCACCCTGCTGGTGACAGCGCTGGTGGTGTGGCGGAGCAAACGCAGCGAGGGCATCGTTTAGAGATGGTTTGTAGGGGAGAACCTGGCCGAGGAGCATCCTTGGGTGCTGAGCCCCATTGGTGCCGCTGCGTCCCCTGCTGGCCCCTTCCCAGGTGGTGGCTTCCAATTAAATCCATCCTTAACAACCTGGGGATGCTGGTGGCATTGAGGATGCTGCTCGCTGGGTAATGGGAAAGTGCCACAGCTCTGCTCAGACCTTCCCTGCTTCCCTCCTGCCAGCCTACAGCATCCACTGGGGGGAAAAAAGGAAAAAATGGAAAAATGGGGGGAAAAAAAACAAGGCAGGGGTCGGTGTCCTGCCTCTGGTGCCAGCACAGCACTGGGACGTGCCGTAACCACAAGGACAACGGGTCAGGGCACAGCCTGGATGATAAAACCTTCACTTTTTATCCTTTTTTTGTTGTTTTACCCTTTGTATCGGCAGGAAAAGCACCTTCTCCCCCTGCCCACCTGCAGACAGGCTCCAACTACAGGTGGAGAGATGGGTGATGGTCACTGCTTCATACTGGCAGGTGATACCAGTAGCGGCACTGATGGCCTTGGAGGTGCCCCAGGGCCAGTGAACAATGGGAATTAGGTGCTTTTCCTAATTAAATAAATACATGCAGAAGTAAAGCAGGTGGCAGTCTTTGGTGCATCCCCTCCATGAAGCCAGGCTCCGGGTGGGTTGAGGGTCCCCAAACCCCCACCCTGCCGCCCCGCTGGGTGTCCCTGTGGGTCTCCTTTAGGTGCCCAGGGGAGGACTTCACCTCCAAACCAAGCCCAGGGGAGGGAGGCATGGGGGGAAAAAGGGGGGGAATCTTCAGGTGAGATATGGAAGCTGAGGGGAGAAACAGAGCTAGGGGATTACACTCAGCCTATGGAATGAGGATTTCAGTGGGGAGGCTGTTGGAATGGGGCACGTGCCAAGCGTGGGCCAAGAGCAGCCCCAAAGCACCCCTGCAGGCCTGCTGCCCCCCGCAACCTCGTGGAGGGGTTCATCCCTGGCACTAGTGAAAACTGAACGTGCTTTCCACCCTGCCTGCGTGTGCTTCTCTCCCTACCCTCCCTGACATTACCACTTAGGCAGTAGAGATCCGCCACAGTCACCTCCTGCTCCAAGGAACGTGCTGCTCCACATTTCATTCCCAATGCATACAAAGGCTGCATTATCTAAAGACAAGGTGCTCCTGCCACGTGCCATCCACACATCTCATCTCCTCACTTTTCTGGGCCTCCAGTAACACCTGCAGGAGGGAAACGTAGCCAGCAAGGCTGCTGCAACCCGCTGCAGCTGCCCTGTGCACACAGAGGAGGAGGGGACTGAGAGACCTGGCCACTGCACAACACAACAAGCGCTCTGTATGAAACCACACCAACATTTATTCCCGGGTTTATCTACGTATAAAAGCTGCTGTGCAATCCCCCCGAGGTCAGGGTGAGCAGTGGGAGCTGAGGGCACCAGCAGAGGGTCAGCAAAGTGCCCCCACACAGCATGGAGCTGAGTGATTGCTGAGGGTCATGGTAACTGATCCCCCCCGACTGCGTCCCCAGCTGAAGGCAAAGGCAGATTTCTTCAACAAAAAAATCTCCCTTTCATTACTTTTCCACAGAAATATATATATATATATATATAATATATATAGGATGTTACTAATACTACACAATCACTTAAGTTACAGATTAGCCTTATATTCCTTTTAACTACTTCACACACACACAAAAAAAAAAACACCGTGGCCCAAACAGGAGCTGAAAATAGCACTGTAAAAATTCCAAACTTGTGACAAGAAGGGACTTACATTAAACACCATGGGAGTTCCAGTGCTGCAGCACAGGGGGTGTTCAGCAGAGCACTCTGCCTGACTCCAGCAGCTCCTGGACAAAGCTCCTACAGTTCCTGCTCATCAAAAGCAACAGGATTGTGATTTGGTTCACAGGAGACCATTTTATTGCCAACTTGAAGTGTTCCAAACCCACACCACCTGCTTGCTTTTGGCTTTTTCTTTTTTCCCCAAACGAGGCAAAAGGTTTTAAAAAAAAATAACAATAATAATTACAATTCCAATAGTGATTTCTTTTAACTTGTCAAGCATATCTCATCAACAGGATATACAGTACAGTTCAGAAGAGTAAACATTTTAAAAGTAAGCAAACAACTTGGTTTTTTTTTTTTGTTTTTTTTTTTTTTTTTTTTTTTTTTCAACCAACAAACACAATTTTCTTGCTGTATTGATGCTGAACTCTCCTTTTAACATGGACAAGTTATGAAGTTAGGTTTCTTCTTCGGTACAACATGGACACTGGACTGGTACAGTCCGGGCTGGTTTTCTTCTGGTTGGTGTTGTTGAAGTTAAAGACAGCATGGAAGCCGTGGTCCTGCTGGCCATCACCCTTCATCATCTCGCATAGCGCTTCATGTAATCTTCAACTTTATTCCTGAAGTCCTCCTGGGGAGAAGCAGAGGCAGAATTACCACGAAATGAACACCCACAGACACCCCGCACACACCCTACGTGTGCAAAGGAACTAATGGAAGGGATGTAACACCTTGTTTTAAACAAGATCCTGTGTCAGCCAGCTCCAATCCTGCCGGTGGATAGGAAAGCTGTGCATCACAATGGAGTGTTTCTGAAAACACTTACAAACTTACAAGCTTACAAACTACGTGCCTCTGAGCCACTCCCCAGTCTCAGGCTGTCTCCAGGTACCTCGAGTCAGCTGAAATATCACACCACCAAAAATAAGTGACACCTTGAACTTGTGTTCAGCTCTGACAAGTTGCGGGCTGCTTTGCTGCAAACTGGGACGATTACTCATAATGGCAAATGTGCTGGAAATCTCATTTGCAGTCATGGTGGGCACCCTGGGTATCACAGGCTGATCCCTCACAGCAGCAAAACGAGCACCCAGGCTCTCCTTGGGCAATGACAGCATTGGAGCACGTCGGTCACAGCGCTGCACCTGATACACTAAGACTTAGACTCACTGTATTAGTGAGGAATGGAGCTTGATTACAGAATAACCTGAGCTGGAAGGGACCCATAAGGACCATCGGGTCTGACTCCACACATCAGTACAAGAAGGCACCACCACCCATCTTTCAGGACAGTAACCCAAATTAAGACCCTTTCTAACATGTTTTTTTTTCTGGTTTTGCAACCATCTACGACTGCTGACATTCTTGCTTACAGCCCCCATTTGCTGGGAGCTGGATGGATTAACAGAGGGCTCTGTGGTGCCCGCTGCCCTGGGTCACTAAAACAAGCTGGGAAGATGGCCAAGAAATAGCACTGAACATGCAACAGAGCCAGCTGCATCTCCACTGTAACTACAGTACCTACAGGTGGCTCAGGAGCCGGTCCCATGCTTTTAAACGGACAGACAGGGCCTCTGAACTCAACTCACAGGAGCTGGACCTCGGCCAAGGGGTGCTCCAGGACTCCACGCCCTCACTTACAAGTTATCACCAGACAAAGGAGCTGACAGCACTGGTGAGAATGCCTTACGGCTGTCCTTGCTGTACGCGAAGGAGGTTCTCATTACGGAGCTGTAATATTCCATCTTCACATGCCATATGGCTCAACAGTCCCTGATTAACAGTGTGCACTTTCCTACGTGCACATCTGTTGGTGTGCAGCACTGAATAATCAGAAGCAAGGAATTAGTCAGAGCAGTCCGTATTCTGCATGACAAAGAGGAGCACGGGATCCTGCAGGAGTGCTAAGGGACAGCAGGAGTGGGGCTGGGGCGGGCAGTGCATGCAAGCAGCCATCACCACGTTAGGTGAGAGCCCTGCTGCTCTCTGCCCCCTACGAAGGAGGATCCTAAGTCCTGCACCCCATGGTCTGGATGCTGAGAGGGAGAAGAGTGGGAGACTGCTGCTGCCAGGGACCCATCCGCTGGGCTCCTGCCTTGTCCCTGCTGGGACAGCTGCCTGCCCTGTCAGTGGCACTGTTAGGCCACTGTAAGGGGAGAGGGCTGATTGTTGCTGTGACATTTGACTACAGCAGCACAGATGCTACAGTGCACGACGCTCCATCAGAAGCAACCCCGGCCAGCCACTAAGCCTTGAAAGGCCATCAGGGAATGCTGAAAATACTTTTTAAAGCTTTTCAAAAGGGAAATCTAATTTTAATTTGCCTTTCATCAACTTCAGGGCGCAGCGTTTCCATCATGAGCTTCAAGATAGCACACAGATGGAGTAAGAGGCTGCCAGTGCTGCCCATGGGTTTTCCCAGTGGGGTGGGGTGGTGGGGAGAAGCAAGGCTGGGCTTTATGCCTGGGAGCAGCACCTGCAGCCCTGTCTTGCTTGGGGGATGGAAGGTCAGCAGAAGAGAGCAACAGCCCAGGGATGAGCAAGAGCTGGTGGATACCCACGATGTGGCAGTGACCCATGCATGAGCAAAAAGCCATTTTGGAGCAGACCTAAAGCAGTTTTGCCCCGAGCTGCAGGGAGATCAGAGCAGTACGTGAGCACAACGGGTCCATGGGGAAGTATGTACTGCATGAGTAATGCTGGCCAAACCCCTGCTTCATCTGCTGAGAATCACACTGGGGCATCGATCGACCGAAGGGAAACTCAGAATTAGTCAGCAGATGAAGAGTGTGATATATGAGCCACAACATATTTCACAATTATCACTGTGCTGAAAACTAGGTTACAGCACAGACCAAAGTCCAGCACTCACTGAGCTTCTGTTTGAACACAACAAGCTTGGAGCTTTCTGAAAAAGCTGCCGTCTCAGAGTTGTTTTATTTAAGAATATGGACCCACATAATAACACCAAATAGCAATTTAAACCTCCACTATTTCAACACGACATTATTTTAGTCCAAAGTTTATCAGCAGGGTTAAATCCCAAATGGTTTCTGTTAGGACCCTCTTTATGGCTTCACTGAAAGGCATGTTAGTGGAATACTGGGCTCTACCACTCACCAGTAAGCAAGCCACAATCTGCTCATGTTGCTCAGCCCCACTCAGTGCTTTGGGAGGAGGACACAATAATTGGGCAGGTTTGCCTATTAATCCCATAGAACACATTTAGAGCAACTTTTCTTTTCCATCTTGTAGGAAAAAATTAGTCTTCACATCCATCAGCCCCTGCACTCCCACTCTCTTTTAGAAAGGAGCTGAATGAAACACAAAGATCTCCAGGATCAGGCCTTTTTCCAATCCGTATTCCTACCTCGCTGTGATTTTCTTGGCACTGTTTCATTTAGAGCACAGCTTCTACATCATTTTACACATTTTCTGAGCCCTGTAATTTCATTTCAGTTGCACGAAGGAGGACTTGGAGAGAAGGGAGGGTGAAAAACAGCACAGTGTCCTGCCACACTCACACCAGTCTCTGTGCAGTCCCCACAGCATCAGTTTTTGGACATTTTTTTCCCCCAAACTGCTGTGCTCACAGGTCAACTGTCTGAACTGATGTGAGTGAACTGATGGGAGTGGTGGCACTGAGGCACCTGCTGGACTGCTGCTCAGGGAGGAGGCCAATGTGCACCGTGCAAAGTGAAGCACTTTGAGGTGCTCAGTAGACAAAAAGGCCATGGATTAGGAGGTGTGAAAGCTGCTGAGGTGGTCAGGGCCTACAGCTCAGTCCTGCAGAGGAAGATTCGAGCCCAAGCACAGCATCACCACCACCCTCACCTTCCAAAGAAGAGCCCTCACTCGGCTCCTGGGAGTGCTCTGGTCCTCCAGCTGCAGAGCCAAGTGACTCAGGCTTTGCCCTGACTCTGACTGATCTGCTTTGTAATGCTTACGCTTTAGCCAGATTGCTGCAGACAAGAACATCCACCTGGGTCTGTACTGAGTCATTTCCACGTGGCCCTGGGCAAAACTACGCTCCCCACCGGCGAGCACAGAGCTGCTCTGCTCCTGGAAGCCTTGCTGATACAGCTGTTGGAACTGCCTGCAGGAAACAGCCCTGAAAAACAATCACCTCCATCATCCCAATTACACAGATGCTACAAACACACTTCCACCTGTGAGGATGTCACTCATTCCCAAGAGAGGATATGTCTTCAGGATCTGACATCTTAATGGCTAAATGACCACAGAGGAGGAAATCAGAGCTGTGTGGGTCTGGCGAGAGAGCTTTCGCAAGTCATCCCCTCCACAAGTCATGCCCTGCAGGCACAGGGAGGGGGAGCTCAGCACAGACTTCTCCCAAAGCCACACATTTGCCTGCAGAACGTGAAACAGCAGCTTTCCTACCTGCCTTAACACACGTAAATCAAAAGGTTGCAAACATCTGCATTTGTGCCATCCCCTCAGCCAGTCAAACCACCTGCAAAAGCTTCATCAACTTCAGGGAGGCAGAAAGAGGCTCCATCCGTAATCAAAGCGTTACGAAAGGTGGGTAATGGTTCCTATAAATACCATTAGAATTAGAAGAGGAACTTTTTTGCTATTTACATCCGTTAGCACAATTAGCAGTTGTGTTGTTGCTCGTTTGCACACGCTGCTTAATGCACTCTGTGCTCAGCAGGGGAAGAGTTTCAAGGCTGTCATATGGATGCAGCACAAAATGGGGAGGAAATCCAAGGAAAACACACATATGCTGGGGGAAAAACAAAATGCAGATCCTCCGTGGTCGCTGCAATTTCAGCACAACCACCATCAAACAGGGAGGTTGGCTGTGCTAAGGAAGTGAAGGATTTCCTGTAGTAAACAAGGAGATAGCTAAATGCAGTGACTCACAGGGTGCGCTCTTCTGCAAAGATGGGTTTGGACTGGGATGGTTCTGTTGTTCCTACTAAAACAGCTCAGCTGCAATCAAAGCAATGAAAAACAAACAGCAAGAATTAAGCAGCTTCCAAAAAAACCCACTTCAATACCTCAGGAAGACTTTGTGGGTGCATCTAATTAGAGCAATTCTTCAGCGTTTCATAACCCCTCTTAGAAAACGTTGGGACAGAGATACTTGGCTCGGTACCCAGGAATAAATGCAAGCTGCTTTTTCTTTTTTTTTCTTTTTTAACCTGAAGAAGGTTATAAAGCCCTCACTCTTCCATCACACCACAGTTCTGTGCTGTTCTTGAAGATCATGTTCAGAACCAGCTTCTTCCTATTAGCAAGAGAAATCCCAGCACGACCAGGGGCAGCGTGGAGCTATCAGTTTAAACATGGGAATGAGGTTAAGTGGAAAACCTTATACCCAACAATGGACAAAGGCAGATCCCAGTCCAACAGAAGCTGAAACACGAGAATGTAAACAGCACAGCAAGGACGAGGCTGCACTAATCTAAGCAACGCATTGACTCAAATATTCTGCAATGCAAACAACATTAAAATGAGGGCCTGACAATGCCAGCTTGAAGCAAACATAATGAGAGCGAGACGTGGGCATGCCTCCCCTTGTTAGCTGCAACAATACCCTCTCTTGACGAGCACAAGCAGCCTTTCTGTTGCCTGCTCCTCCTTGAGCTAAGAGCCAATTGCATC